TATATATATATATATATATATATATATATATATATATATATATATATATATATATATATATATATATATATATATATATATATATATATATCGCTATTTATCTATCTATCTGTGTGTGTGTTTGTGTGTTGGACAATTAGCTGGGATTTCAGCGTTGGTGCGAGTAAAAGTGACTAAAGTCTACTATTTATTTTTCGCTTTTTTTTTCTCCCCGCTAACTCTGGGCGCAGTGGTGAGTGCTGAGATTGATCATTCAAGTGCATCCTGGGGAGACTGGCGGGGTGCAACCTCGTGACGAGTTGATGCCCAGTCGGACGAAACATCCTGGCACAGACAGTCATGCTTTTTTTGTGGAGTCGTCTATAGCAAACATGACAACACACGCACACACACACGCACCTCTATATTGCTTACCCGGTATGTCATTCTAGCCTTGACATTCAATGCTTTTATAACTGTGAAATTGTGAACATCAGCCTGCCTTCCTGCTGGCATGTTAGAACATGCCATGTGTCGTCAACGTTTCCAGGAAGCTGGCATGGACTGTATCATGGTAACCGTCCGGATGTCCGGACCGGGTTCCAAACAGCCCGGTGTCCAGTGTCCGGTGTCTGGTCCTGATGTCTGGATGGAGGCCCCTGGGGAGAAAAAAAAAAAAAAAAAAGGGGGCGGCCCAGGACGTTTATCGGGCCCTGACCGCCCCTCTAAAAATAACGGGGTGATTTTTCAGTGTCATTTCACCCCACAGACAGGGCCTAGAGGTCGGGACACAAGACACTGCAGATTTCTGGGGTGGCGGGTCTCACACAGGCCCGAGCAATTTCAAGGCGCCCGCCGCTGCTGCCCGTTGGAGAGAGAGAGAGAGAGAGAGAGAGAGAGAGAGAGCACTGACAGTGCTGCCAGTCTGAAGACTCTGACGTTCTGAATTGAACTGCAAAGTTTGAACTTTTAAGTTGTGTATTCGAAGTTAATCATACTTTTTTCAAAAACCAAATTCTCTGTTTCTTTAGTCTTGTGCCTGCTTTGCACTGTTTGCAACTCTGCATGTCTGCTAGTTAAATGTGCTGGTTGATTTGCTGCAAGACACGTGCTCTGATGTCTGAAGTACAGAGTGCAGAGCAGGTAAGTGCCTGCCAACACCCCTGCCCAACCCCCCACCCCCTTTTTTTTTGTTTTGCTTTTTTCTTGGTCCGGACATTTGTGCACCCCTGGTACCGTTTCGGACTGTCCGGATACGGTGATATCCCGGTGTCCAGTAATGTCCGGATCACCGGACAGTCCGGACCGGCCCAGACACTGGTCCGGAAGACAGTCCGGAAGTGTCCAGTGTCCGGGTC